AACAGATTCCCAGCCGGTTTTCACACCTGATGGGAACAGAGGGGCCTCGTCAGTGAATTAGAGGAACAAAGACCTACTGTTTAGGTGTGAACTGCCAATCTACATATGTGTGTGTGTCTTATGTGTGTGTGTGTCTTATCTCACTCAGCCTTATAACCTGTATCTCTCACTCTCTGCTCTTTGAATTGAGAAAGCTCCTCGGATGAGAAGCGAAACGTCTTCTGTTACAAATAAAGTCCAGTTGTTTTTGTATTGAACGCTTTTTGAATTCATGTTCTCTGTGAGCTGTGTGGGTTTCCTCCCACAGACCAAAAACATGAATATTAGATTGATTGGTAACTCTAAATTGTCCCTAGGTGAGATAGTGAATGGCTGTTTGTCTTGTTTGTCTCTGTGTCCCTGTGATGGACTGGAGACCTGTCCAGGTATCCCTGTGATGGACGGGAAACCTGTCCAGGGTGTCCCTGCGATGGACTTGAGACCTGTCCGGGTGTCCCTGCGATGGACTGGAGACTTGTCCGGGTGTCCCTGCGATGGACTGGAGACCTGTCCGGGTGTCCCTGTGATGGACTGGAGACCTGTCCGGGTGTCCCTGCGATGGACTGGAGACCTGTCTGGGTGTCCCTGCGATGGACAGGAGACCTGTCCAGGTATCCCTGTGATGAACAGGAGACCTGTCCAGGGTGTCCCCTGTCTCTCTCACAGTGACTGCTTGACGTGGGCACCAGTGACCTAAAAATGAAGAAGCAGGTAGAGATAATGGATGGATGGACTCTTTCAGTTGTAAATCTCTGCTGTAGAAAGTCTAAATTATTTTTGGTGATGCTCCACCAGGGTCATGGCTGACATCACACCCATCCCTTACGAAAAAAGAAAAATAAATAAATAAGTATACCCTCTTTGAACCATGGTGGAATAACATAGAATCACATAAACATGTCAAAAATGTTCCAAATACAAATGTGCAAAGCATGTTTTTAACATGAATTTCCACATGAAGTTCATATGTTTGTTTTTTTTTCTAGAAGAAATTGCTTTTTTTTTTTATATGAAACTGGAATTGCTGGTTTGTTTTGTTTCTTGACGCACATCATGTTGGTGAACATGACACCACTGGGATTCTGAGTTCAGGGAGAAAATGTTTCACTTTTACAAGAAAGCCACAGTCACAAAAAAATGACAATGTTTATTGTACAACATGAGAAACAGACGTATAGATCATGTGATTCTTTCTGCATCTCTGGTAAGTAGGCCTAAAAAACAGCTAGCAGTTGGACATGACCTCAGCAACACTTCTTGCTTTACATGCAATCACTCTGATTCTGGCTACAATGACTTCTGACCAACAACTCAACAATCTAAGCACCACCATACTGCTTGAACTTTGTCACCACCAGAAAAGCTTAATTCTCATCGTGATTGTTGAAACGTAAGACCAGACACTAAATGCAAGGCTTTATATGCCCCGTTTGACTGTGAGGGAACTCCTGAAGCTTCATCCTTTCAAAGTGCACATCCTCTGCTGAGACCTGGAACAGACATGGGCAGCACGATGACTCAGTGGTTAGCACTGTTGCCTCACAGCAAGACAGTCCTGGGTTCAATCCCCAGTTGGACCTGGGGTTTTTCTGTGTTGAGTTTGCATGTTCTTCTCCTGCATGCATGGGTTTTCTTTGGGTATTCCAGTTTCGTCCCACAAACCAAAAACATGCATGCTAAGCTGCCTTCAGGCCCAGGCCTTCCTTGCAAAAAAAGATCTGTGATCTCAGAGGATTTGCCTGGTTAAATAAAAGTTAATAAATAAATAACATCTGCTCTACCTGTACTGTCATTTCATTGGATTAGACACCGATTGCTTGTACTGCTCTTTTATTGTACTGAAACATTCTTCTGTTTGTCTCACATCATTGAAAAAAAGCTAGACTTGAAAATATTTTGCTTCTCATGCCAGGAGCTGTCTAACTTCAAACTTCAAATTGCAATTTCAAGCTTAAAAACTGTGATATGAGGGAAATCAAACAAGTACAGATATGCTAACTGTTCTTCAAGTCAAAACCTCGTGGCCCACTTACACGTCAACTATAGGGAACATTCTTTAGAAGACTGTAACGTTCACATTTGGACAGAGAAGGTAGATGGATTGAGAGAGGAGAGAAGTAACACATCTATGTAAACCATCAACCATACGCACTCACCGGACTCTTTATTACGTACACCTTGTTAGCTGTTTGGACCCCCTCTATCTTCAGAACCGTCTAAACTCATGTTCAGTTTGGGTGACTGTGTGAACTTTGGTTTTCTGCTGAACACGATCTGTTTCAAGGTTGAACATGTGTTCACAGCTGGTTTTCTGCAGACCTGTGTTTGTGCTTTCCTGTCGTCTCAAACCAGTCCGACC